TCTCGTACACGGGGGACGCGTGTGATTGGCAGGTGCGAGTGTGAGAAAGTTCTCCTTGAGAAAGCCTACCTGGATCAGTTTCAGGGCTGCATCATGGGGCGGGCTGGAGTGGTGGCGAGGGGAGGGGGGGGGCATCTCTGTGGCAACCTGGGCGCGTTTTGAGCTGAAAGGCCGGCTTTATCCGGCCATCTCTGGGAGAGAGAGAGATTCTCCTGCCCCAGGTGAGGGGATCAACAGGTGAGCGCAGTCATTATGAGGAAAGGTGAGCTCTTTAGGCCCCCCTCCGCTCCCCCACTTGGCTTTTCACCCACTAATCTCTCCAGGGAAATGTGCCTTTTTTTAATCTTAGCACAGTTATAATTGTTTCTTTTCCCCTTTTAGGCTACACATCTCTATCAGTGTTTAGCTCAAAGTCTTCTCTTTTTGTCTGGTTTTGGATGTTAAAATCCAGATTTCAGCTCTGCCTCCAGGTCATAGTGATCCTATACGCAGACTGAGGTTTGTGGCTTTGGTTTGAACCCAGAAACTCAGACGATCAGCAGTCTGGAGGTTTTAMCTGCTCTGCAGAGATTAGTCAAGTTCAAAGACTTAATAAGTGGGAAGTCGTTTCTTTAAGCTATATGTCTCTGTTGGTATTGACTCTAAAACCTCGGCGAGGAACTCCGAGTTTGTTTCTGATGAGTCAGTTTATCTGACAGGGTTGTAAAGAAGTCAKTAAATGGTACAGAGGAGAAAAGTTGAGGGGTTTATAGAAAAAGGCTTGTTCATCTACAGCAGGTTGGGACTCATCTTCTTAAATGAGGGTGCTCGCCTAGCTCAGGGTTGCGTGCCAAAATATTCTGCACATGTACAAAATAAAAGCACTAAAATGATCTTAATAAGGTTTTCAGCCACACATTTTTTTTTGTTTTTACAAATGGTTGTGTTTTCACAGACTTTAAGAATTTAAAATGAATAAAACACGTTTTTATTCCACTTTGGCTGATACATATTTGATTAAAACATTTTTCTTTGCCAGCATCACTCTTTACAAAGTGAGCAACACATAGGTTCATCGTCTTGAGTCAAACTTAAAAGGTCAGAGTTTAAAATAATGTCCAACTTTACGCACCACCACCAAGATGACTTTAACTCATGTTTAGAAGTGATTCAAACGGTGAAACACTTTTTTTTTTCTATTCAAGTCTTTGGAAAACTCGACTCAGTGGCCGGGCTGAAATATAACAACTGCTGGAAAAATAATTACAGACAAAAAAAATAAACAAGTTACAGTCTGAATGTGACAAATCCATATTTACTGCTGTAAACGTGGCATGCTGCATGTGATGTCACGTCTTCTTCTGAGCACGCGGGTCGCTTCAGGGCACCTGAACCCATTCACATTATAGTATGATGGCACTCACATTTAAATTATAACATAAACAACCTAAAAAAACAATTGAGCTTTAAGACATGTGCTGTGAGCGTAGCCCAACGCTCAGCATAAAGTAAATCTGATCCTTCTTTACCTTTTGTTACTCAGAAGTTGTTTATCTTGTTTGGGCTTGCTCAAATGACCTGTAATACTAGAGCCAGAGTAATCTGTTCAAATGAAGTAAGCTTTCGAGTTTTTCCCCCCGCTAAGTGGTTAAAACTCRTCGTCTGATTTGCTGCCTGAGGTCRTAAATGTTTCTAAGTATCTCTTGACTCCCAGCAGTCATGATGTAAAGAAATGTCTGTTTTTACTTCCTGCTGTCTCCTGATAAACCACTCTCCTGTGTTTGCTTGGATACGAGTCGTAATTTTTATTATCTCACTCTGAGCTGAACATCTGTTCATGCAGCTCATAAAGAGGGCTAAAGGCTAATATAAAGCAGAGGAGGACAAACCATAGTCAATGACCATAACCAGCAGGTCTAAACTTAAAGAAAACCAGTGAAGAACAAAGRTCATGATATAACAGCTTTAGGAATATGTTCCATGAAACTGAACTGAACATTCCTGTTTCTCATTAAGTGTTATAAACTGACCAAGAGTAATCAGTCAATCTGTTTTAACCAATATTCTCTCTGCTAAATCAACACAATAAGCTGTTTAATAAATGCTCACACTGACGTGTGAAGATCATCAGGYCGATTTGGTTGAAATTGAATAACCTCGACATTTAAAACCTAAACAAAAGTGCGTGGCTTTGTCTCCAAAACAAACACATCAGGCCAGAAAGAGGCTGTGCATGTAAACGAAACAAAGCTCTTCTTTTCTTTTCTCACAGCGACATGCAAACCGACGCCTTCATGCAAATGTGCGACTGTGAACCGCCCAGTCGTTACGTTACGTCTCTGAACTTGTCCCCTAAACCTCGTTTTATTTAACTGACTCAAACTGAGAGGGAGAGAAACCTCGGAGGGTTGTAGCATCTTTAGAAAAACTAAATTGGAATTT